CTTCAAATTTTGCGTTGAAGTGGGAATTTGCGTTGAGGTGAGGCAGACCAACACGCCGAATGGCGGGTGGGTCTGCTGATGTAAGAGACGGCTAAGGCAAATGAACGGTTGCATGCAAGTGGAGCGAGACAAAACGACCTCGGCGGGGGCAACTTTGTTCCAGGGATCCACCCACACTCCGTCATAGGATCGGCCACCTTGGAACTGTAATGTGGTGAGGTAAGGGGATGGTATTGGTTGATTTCCATACGAGAGAGGTACTGTCCTCTCACGCTCTCTTCTTATCTTTTCCTCATATCGTGTCCTTCTCCTACAGCATCTCCCTTTGTCTCTCTCTCTCTCTCTCTCTCTCTTTCTCCCTCTCCCTTCACCCTATCGCTTTCTACCAGTGCTACTGGTCAAGGCTTGGCCTGGTTCGGGGCCTCCACAGCTTCTCCGTTTCCGTCATATCCTCATGATGGACCTTTCGATGTTGCTATTTTGATTGACCGGCTCCTAATGGGTTCCCTCGGCAGCTTCCTCTTTGTATACTTCCTCGGCGGACTGACTTTTATCCCACTGGTCCTGTCGTTAATTCTTCTGCATGCTTATTTGACCCTTCCGTCACCTCCGCCAATCGAGCAAATATGCGAACGGGCCAAAGACCCTCTGCGGCGTCCTGGTGACGACCAATATAGTCTAAAATCCGGCACGGATGAGCTAGCAGAGAAGTTCCATCGTACGCACGAGTCGGATGTTGCGGCAGGCTACTTTGCCGTATGTCGCGAATATGTGCCTGGTGGAGTCAATGGGAAACCACCCGAGAGAACCACGCCGGCGGGCGAGGTGATCGCCGCGGAGAGCCCGAGCGTCTACCAGACAATGTATAGAAGTCTGTTTGACCGAAAGCAGACGCCAACGATTGAGCCAACTAAAAATAATGGGAAAAGCGGCAAGAGGGCGCGCAATGTATTTTACATTGTTCTCCGGTAATTATTCCTTTCCATACGTATAGGTTCTTTGCGGATACTGATCATTATTGCATGGGCTATAGGCATGGCCATTTGATGCTTTATGATGATGCCAACCAGGTCGAGGTGCGATATGTTATTTCCCTTGCGCACCATGATGTAAACATCTGTGGTAGTGAAGGGGAGATCCAAGAAGGCGAGCTGTGGCTTAAGAGAAATGCTATCTGTCTTTCGCGACGACTGGAATCTCTTGCAGATTTAGGGGGACCAACGCCTCCATTCTTTCTTTTCTCGGAAAATCTGTCCGAAAAGGAAGACTTCTATTTCGCTATGCTCCAAAACCAATCCAAGATGTGGAACTCCCCCGACGCCCCTCCCAAGCATCAACCTTTCGATGTTAAGCATATCGTCACCCTTGTTCAACGATTGCATTCATCTGAAGAACAACTACAGACGCGGTGGATCAATGCGGTCCTTGGGCGGGTGTTTCTTGCCATGTATAGAACGCCGGAGATGGAGGAGTTTGTCCGAAAAAAAATCACTAAGAAAATCTCTCGAGTTAACAAGCCGAACTTCATCAGTAAAATTGGCCTACAAAGGATTGACATGGGCGAAGGGGCGCCATTTATCATCAATCCAAGGCTTAAAGATCTAACTGTTGACGGGAACTGCTGTGTAGAGACAGACGTTCAGTATACCGGCAACTTCCGAGTGGAGATCTCGGCTACAGTGCGCATTGACCTTGGGCCTCGTTTCAAGGCCAGGGAAGTAGACATTGTTCTTGCCGTGGTGCTGAAGAAACTTCATGGTCACCTGTTGATACGGTTCAAGCCTCCTCCGAGCAATCGAGCCTGGATCTCCTTCGAAACGATGCCAAGCATGGACATGGAGATTCAGCCCATCGTTAGTTCAAAACAAATCACATACGGTATTATTTTACGCACTATTGAAAGTCGGATAAGAGAGGTTGTCGCTGAAAGCATTGTTCAGCCATTTTGGGATGATATTCCCTTCTTAGACACCGCCACGCAGCGTTTTCGTGGAGGAATCTGGCAACGAGATATCCCGACACCGGACACGAAGGTCGACATACCAGACGAGAGCGGCGCTCAGCCTCAGACAACAGGAGCAGAGAAGGGAGATTTCGTTGATGTGCTAAAAACGAAAGACGAACGTACAATGAGCGCGCCTGTGATTTCTGAGTCTATACCTATCACGACAAAATCCCGCAAGGGCTCCAAAGGAGAGCTTGAAAGGAATAACTCAAGTGCCTCAAATACCGCTATTGAGAAATTCGGCAGCTCACCACCACGTGCCATCCGATCCCAGACGTTCTCCAACGCTGCTGATCCTGTGCTTACAGCAGATAATGCAAAGATCGACAAAGTCGTGTATGACAGCAAAGACACAGAAAAGAGCAGTGCTGCTAGTGCCATGATTGAAATATCAAACCGCTCTCCTCCCGGGTCGCCGAACAGATCACCGAGTGGCTCGCCGCCTACCGACAGTAATATGCCGCAAGACAATGCGTCTCAAAGCCGGGATCCATCCATAGTGGAATCCATTGAGAGTGTGGGAGAATTTAGCACCGACTCTTCTGTTCACCCTTCTGCTGTTCATAAAACGAGTAGTTCATCTCTTCGAAGTATGGCTGCCAGTTCCACCGCCTCACCGGGTGGCAACAAATCCAGACGAAGTACACTCGAGACTCTGGCACGCACCGTGACGTCTTCCACTGCCGCAGAAAAGTCTCAAGTTTCTCTGTCGTTGGGCACAGCGACTTCTGTTGCGAAGAGATGGGGCTGGAATATGTTTGGCAAGGGGGAACAGAACACTACTCACGAATCGTCCCGGCCTGCAGGTACACCAGAGGAGCCCATAGGCCGAGGGCATCCTCTTCCGCCCCCAGGCACCCCATTGCCACGCCCTGAGTCATTTGCTTTCAAGAGGAACTCTGTCCCTGTAACCAAACGAAAACCTGTTCCGCATAATGCATCTCCTGAGCAGCAGCCCAAAGGGGATGGCAAGAGGCGTGTCTCAAAGCCACCTTTACCTAGAAGAAAGCCTATCTTCAACTCAGGAGATTCGGAGAATCATCCTGATGAGTTGCTGGTTGTCGAGGCCCCTTACGACTCAGGCCCTAATAGCCCGGTTGTCGATGTTGCCCCCGACAATGCTTTGCTTGGGCCCAGTACACAGCGGAATTCAACCATGTCCAATATGGCTACGAGAAGGTCTAATGACCTTTGGGAGAAAGCAAATGGACACGACCAATCCTCCCTGGTCGAGGACGCCGAGGCTGACAAACACGGCATGGCAATCTTATCAGCAACCGACGGCATTATTCCGTGATGGGCGATGTAATTATAACCGGATGCTGTCGCACCTACCGAGCAGAGCTCAGTGTCGCTGCGGACTCTTTCAGCGTATGATGATCGATTTCCTCGCCCAACTTGCCAATGTGGGTCCTATGCTCTTTTTCCTTCGCTTCCTCTTTTTGTTTGCATTACGACATGGCCGTTTGTCCTATGTATACCCTCCGGCCAGTTATATGATCTGATCGGCGTCATCAGATGGCGTTCAAGGAGCGATGTTCAATTTTTTTTTCATCATAATCCAGTGTCAACTTCGACTATTGGGCCTCGGTATGGACGTACGGGTGAATATATGACTATGTCTTGCACCTCTATTTTGTTTCCCCCTCCGTTTTTTTGTTTTTTTTTTTTT